TCTCTTCTTATTTCACTTCCAGTTATATTGTCTGATGATGATACAAAACTTGATTAGTATCGAAAGGTCGCAAAAAATGTGTAAATGCCTTACTTAACGTATTTTCAATTGTATTTTATATATTATGTTTCTTCAAAAACGTAAAAAGACAAAATATTATACATCAACGATTTATTCGGATATAATTCTGATTGATTCAGCAATTTGAAAAAAATATGATTTAATAAGTTTTGATAATATTTTGTTCAAAGTATCAAATTTGAATTACAATATTTTGAGCAAAAAAAAATGTGTTTATTTTATGATTTTTGTCAATTTATAGAGACTTTGTTTTAAAGCTAGAGATGAGACAGTTTGAATTTTAAATAATAATAAAAAATAACAAGATCTGTATAGATCAATCACTTGTCTCATATTAAAATGCATATAGATCAACAAATATTACTGAAAAAATGGATATTATAAGAGTTCATAAAGACGAATATCGAATTAAGATAGAAAATGTATTTCATCCGTAGCAAGGAAAAACTGTAGGCAGCTATCTAATTTTAATAACTCGGTTATATTCTCCATAGTTCAGTAAGACACCGTAAAAGTGATTTTAATATTATATAATTCTATAATCGCACGTCTAGAGGAGAAAAAAAGACATACTTCACAAACTCAACTGTATATTTTCGAAAAGTAACTTCATTTTGTGTACCATCTTCAAATAAAGTCCTGATTGTTATTTTTCAGACTGTCTTCTATTCAAGTAAGCGAAATTTTCATTGTATTTTTATTTTTCTTAAAGAAAACTATAATCACAAAAAATTGTATAGTTACTAAGTGAATTAATATCTACGTTATTATTGGAAGATTTCGTTTTAGAAAATTATCAATTAATTAACAAAAATGCACGCATACAAAACTGAAACTTTGAATACAACAGAAATAACTGAATAAATTTCCTTTTCTTTCATCCCAGAGTTAAGAAGCATTTTTATGTTATCAGTTTATTCGGCTGCTATATCTCTAAAAACTTTGAATAAATGATTGCCCTATTAATTCTTTGAAAGTAAATAAATCGTTAGAAGTTACTAATAGTTTTAAATGATTTTGTTTCACACAAATATTTTAATCTGAATCATCTGGAGAATGTTCGACAACCCCCCAGTTAGATGCTCTACGAACAGGCAAATTTTTCTGTTGTTGCTGAATAGTAGGAGAATTTCTTTTTGAATTTCGTTCCTGAATGTTGGATACCGTCGCTGTTGATGTAGTAGATAAATCAGTTGGTCTTCCACCTTTTGAATTTCTTGGCTCGCTTTTAACTGATGAGCTACTTTTAACTGATGAAGAACGACGTCGAAAATTTTGTTCAGGTAAACGTGTAAAATTTCCTGATTCTTCCAGAGGTTGAGATATTCTACTGTTATGACTCATTTGTGGAAAAAAAGGTTGGTTAAAAGTTGATTGAGTGAATGAATTATTGGGAGAAAAGTTTTCTGTCATTGATACATTAGTGAGTTGTTGTTCGTGTACTGCATTTGTCGGTGATAATATTTTAGGTTGGTTGTCTGATCTATTAATAGTGAAAATATTACGAGAAAATTGATTTATTTGTGGTACTTCTTGATGAGATATTGTTTTTTCATACTGATTGTTGTCATCCGACGTCGATTGCTTCAATACTTTTGAACTTGATCGACTTACATCAGAAGCACCGTCAAACCAGTCATCAATATCGGCACCTTTTGATTCTTGAACACTGTTCGCTGTAGATGGAAATGCTAAAAAATTTATAAAATAAGTATTCATCTGAATGGTATTAACTGTCACATTTACTGTCTGTATAACAATGTTTATCATTCGAAGTTAGTTAGACTCATCCGTATACGTACACATACAGCCCATTTAGGTTTGCTTTAAACTCATTCTAAGGTGTAAGATAAACTATGCAAATACACTTACATGCTAATGATTTTGATGGTACATTCCGATTTGTTTTATTATTGTCCTCATTACTTATTATATCTCCACAATGTTTACATATGGCAAAATTTAATAGTGGCTGAAAAGTTGATTGGACAGCTTTTCTCTTATTATCATTGACTGCTTTAGGATTTTCGTGGTGTTGTCGTCCTCTTCGCCGTTTTTTCAATGTACCATATACATCTTCTTCAGCAAGCATCTGTTCTTCTTGCTTTGTACGAATTACAGGTGTACGTGCTTTTTCTTGCGAAGTCGATTCATTTGATTTTGCAATATCTAAAAGTGTTTCAGGTTTTAGTGAATTTCGTACAGGTATGTCGGATTTATGTCGTTCATCATCAGCGACTTTTGCCAACATTTTTCGATGTAGAAGAAGATCATTCGCAAGTTTTAATTTTTCTTTATATTTAATTAATTGTTTGACACTTGGTGTCCCATGTTCGTCGTTTATCGACAGCTCATTTTTTTCTTTATTGGTGTCGTCTTGATTATTTTTTTCTAGTAACGAAGTAGGTTTAATTAATTCGTCCTGCAAAATTTCACGATCTGTTTTGACATTTTTTTCTGTTAATATTGTTACTTGTCGACCAAGTTGTTGTGCAAACATGAGATTTTTCAAACTAAAGGAAGGTTGTTGACCAAGAGATGGTATAGCATCTTGAACAATATTTTGCGATTGAAGTTTCATATTATTCATCTAGGGAAACAATTTTACAGATCACATTGAATATGGAACGTTGTTAGATAGTTTGAGGTCGGATACGTTTGTAGGGAAAGTATAATTAGAACCACTTACGTTCATTTTCTGGTCGTCTGCTGTTGCTCCCATCATTCTACCAAGTTGCGGTCTATCATAGGATTGTGAAAATTTAGATGAATCTTTATTCATTATGTCAGCCATGGAATTCAATAATGGATTAGTAGATGAATTTGGTAACGTTGTAGCACCACTAGTCATACTCCGATCAGCTGAAAATGGAGTTTGAAGACTAGTTGTCATCATTTTTGGAGCAATGTCGATTTCACTCTTAAACGCTTTTGGATATTTTTTTTGAATAAATTGAACAATTGCAGTTGCTAAACAAAAAAATTCAGTATACAGTAACAGATGAGACAATATGATGGAATGAAAGTTTCATTCTACCTGGTTCTGTCGGCATTTTTTGTAACAGCATGTGTGTCAATTCTTTAAATAATCCCTCAACATTGCGTATGATTTAAGTAACACGTTAACGATTTTTCTTTGCCTTTTCTGTACCCTATCTTCTTCCTCACACAAGTCTCTCCTTTCTCCATGATAATATTTTATGCGTTTGAAATGGCCACCCTTCTAATATTGTCTACACAATAGTCGATGAAGCCGTTATGTTGTTTCCAATAGTCTTCTGGTCTTGTTCTTGACATATTGATAAAGAACGAGATGTTAAAATTTAATTATGCGTTTAATATCGCATTTGATTATACCAATTTAAAATTAATTCTACCATATTTGTGTGCTTTCAAAATGTTGCGCAGAAACACCTCAATATGAATACTTGAGCGACATTGACAGTAAGCAGCTGTAGTGAGCGACAAACGATAGAGCATGGAGTAATAGTAAAACATGAAGACACCTATAGACATCTACAGACAGCACACAGACATCCACTTCTACGGACATGGGAGCGATACAGAAGTGGATGTCTGCATAGTGCTTTTGGGTTGTCTGTGGGTGTCTCTATGCTGTCTGTGTAGCTGTCAGTGGCTAAAATCTGTGGATGTCTGTGGTTGTCTTCATGTTTTACTATTTACTACACCCATAGAACATGTAAGGTACTCCGTAAGATTTGTTTGATTTTTTTTCCTTTTGATTTTTATTGCCGGAATGAATGTCTTTTGGACAGCGATTACATTGTCATATTTACGTTAAAATTGAATCGTGTATGAAATTAGTGGAGAAGTCTGTAGAGGAATTAGAAAGCTGAGTTTCCTCATCATTATTTCCGACTTTTTCTATAAAAGTAGAAGTTTAATGATGAATTTTGAAGTGGTATCCACTTTAAGATTTCATACAGCAGTCCAAAATTTGTAGGTTATTTCGTTTTAAAGACAGAGGATCATGCCAACTGTTCGCCAACATTTAAAAAAAGTAATTTTCTTCTTGATGACAATACATGGACATTCATTTTTCGCGTAAAATTTCGAATTTTTAGAAATTACACTATTTTACTGATAAACAAAGGAGAAAGTAGTCAACAAACACAATTTCTGCCAACAATAACTCGGACATAAACTTTATACCATAAATAAGCCTAACATGGAAAGAACTCGAAAAGTCGAAAACACACACTTAAGATTAATTAGTTACAATAGGCAAAATACGAGTTAAAAAAAAAGTATCTTCTTTAAGCAAATGGATTCTGTAAGTAATATTAGAAATTTTTTAAAAGCTGTTATATTTCTGTTGTAGTTAAAGTGTAGCACATATCTTCACTTCTCGAAAGCTCACATAACCTCACATAGTAGAGGATATACTGCTTCGACGCTGTCTTATTCTAACAGTGAAATAGTGCAATTTTCTAGCTGACATCGAAGCAAAATCAACTGATAACAAAATTAATAACATTTGTGTTGTTATACCAACTTGGCATTACAGTAGATTAATCATGCCGGCAAAAATAGTCAAACAGAAACATATTGTTACAATGTATAAATTTACAATGAGAGAAAAACAAGAAATAGTCAACGGTTAATTTAATAAACATATTTATTAATAACAAAACGATAAAAATAGCACCTATCTGGATTCTGAAGGAAAAAAAAAATATATATATTTTTTAATGTTACTAATTTATCGTATAGACTGAGGTATACTACGAAATACGATACGTTTTTTTGTCACAATATCACGATTATAGTTAATTCTGCGCGATTTAATAGGAGCTAGTAAACGTACAACAGTTTTGGGTTTCGTTGAATATATTGGATCAGTTGATCGATGTCGACCTATTTTTTCAATTTGACATTTAAAATAAATATTACATAATTTCATAATTTCTGTTCGAAAACGTCGACATGAGAATAAATAGACAAGAAAATTAGAGGCATGATGTAAATGTAGTAGAATATTTGTAATAATATGAATAATATATTGAGTATTTGAACGATTTTTTGTTGCTAATAAGTAGATTGAATGAACAGTTGCTGGTGTACTTGTTAAGACAAATAATACTGAACTAGACAAGAGCATCACAGTCATTATTTGCTGTTTTGTTGAAAGTTTTGTAGTACATTTTAATTCATTTGATGTCATACGTTTTTCTATACGAAATGCTTTTTCTAATTGAAAAATGATTATACAATTGCAAATAATGACTATTGGTGTAGTTGTCCAATATGTTAGAGAACTTTTAACATATTCCCAAATTAATTGATTGAATTGTCGATAAAAAGAACAAAATGATCGCATAGGCAATGATTTATCTATTAACAAATTAATTTTTGAATCATTATAGGTAGAATAATAATTGTGTGTGGTATTTAAATTTACTATTAACGATTCGTTTGATGTTTGAGATATAGTATCATAAATATACTGTGTTTTCATAAAATATGCATAATGGATAAATACTAAGAGTGATAAACAAAATAATAAGCAAACAAAAATTCGAGCTTTAACAACACTACGTAATCGTGGTAGATGAAATGGATTAAAAACAAGAGAACATCGTTCAAGATTCATTACAGCAATCACCCAAACAGATAGTAGACGAAATACGTCCGCAAAATAAAACATTGTACAATCATAACTATTAAGTGTTCTTGAATATAATTTTGTTAAAATTTGATAACTTTGTAAAAATAAAACAAAAAAATCAGCAATTGAAACTGCTGTAATAAATGCGGCGGTCGTTGTACGTCGAAAAAAATGTTGATTAACAACAACTATTGTCAGTGCATTTCCACAGCATCCAAATATTGATATTAATAATAGAATTATTGCTCGAACTCGTTCAAATGGCATATTTTATTTCTTTTGATAATTATTAATTAAAAATTCTAAAAAATATAGAAAATAAAATCAATGAAATAATAGGAAAAACCTAATTTTACTCTAAATACAGAGTCTTAATACGTAGAATTTAAACAACTGATAGCTTAATTTTACCAGACAGATATAACTCTAATGTTATTCAATCAATAAAAATATTCAAAAGAGTCTAGATGTTGAGTATATTATATAAATAAAAATTGTAACAACTTTTTAGTTTATCTATAAACACAATTTTTTTTTTCTTCTTTTCATTCAACATAAAGTTGATTTATATTAATTTTACGGTTAGTTCAAACAACAAGCGATAGACTAAATGTATCTGTCATTTATTTTTTTATTGTCATGAAACATTAAAGATCTCTAAAGACCATTTATAAGAATTAGCGATAACTTTAAGAAATATTAACTAGTATGTCTCTTTAAATTTAGAAAGTTAGACACGTATAATAACAAAATCATTTTTTTTTTCTTATCAAGACCTTATTATTATTCAGTCTTCATGGGTTTTATCTTAAATGGCTATAAAAACGAAGTTTATTTGTTCGATGATCGATTTTTTTTTTTTGACAAAATGTAGAAAAACTGAAATTATTTACTATTTTGTAAGTAAAGCATTGAAAAACATAAATCGTAACAAAGAGTTGACGACAGCTAATTTCCACTTCGATTAATATTATAACCGCGCTTGATTGAATCTTTTAAATGAAACAAAGTACTATATTATATTCTGATTCTATTGCTTGTGTTAATAAAATCTAATCGGATTTTCACGGTGTATGAAGAAATATTTAGTATAAAATAGATATTTTATTTACAAAAAGATCAAAGTCTCCAGATAAATTTTCGAAGAGTATTTTACAAGAGAATAATGTTTTTCAAAGACTATTTAGGTTAAATAGAATATTTACTATTTTCCTTTTGTCCTTCACTTATACGATTGAATAAATAGTATCATAACACGGATCGAAAGAAGGAGTGGAATGAAATTATAATCGGAAACATAAAGGAAAAAGTATGTTTGAAACAAGAAATCTACAAAATACGAGTGAGACTCTAGTTGCGAGTGTTTTAAAAATGTTAAAAGAATTTCTGTTGAACATACTAGAATGATCATGACAGTTTTGGAATTTAATTTTCAGAAAAAAAAACTGCTTGTATTTGTTGTTTTACACGACGGCGCACAGTGGGCAAGTTTCACCAGGCATGTGGTCTTTTGGCCTGCGAGCTGGAAGAAAACTTAAAAGCACGTTTTTTATAGGTTATCTTGTGTGCTCTATCTAATGGAATACTTTTCGAGTTATAAAACAGTTTATTAAGTGGTTTTCCAGAGATTCGATCTCTAGAAAACCGCTTAGAAAACCTTTAAAAAACTCAAAAACAATTGAATTGGATAGAGAATCATCGATAACCTATAGAAATAGTGTTTAGACAATTTCATCTGTTGATAATTTCAAGTTTTAAAATTTCAGTCAAAAATCCCTATACACACATGCAAGAAACAAAGGAATCAACTAATTCAAAAGTTTCCGTAGAAACACGGCTGAATTATACGCCATTCGATGCAGTTTTTCAAGCGCTGATTTCAAATATATTATTGGTTTTAAATTTCAACGGTTCCTGAACTGAGATAATCCGGATTCATGTTAAAAACCAAGGGTTTTTGAAAAACCTGTAACTCGGTCCAGAAACATTTGCGCTACTTTGCGCTAATGGCACCTTCTGCGAAAATTTCATTGAATTTGGAGCTTGGCTAAACTTGGCGCACTCACGGTACGGAGGACTACTCTTCGGAAAACACTTAGCAGAGAAAGAAACATTATTTTCTCGGTTCCAAAGCGTCTTCAAAAAAAACTTTTTTATAAACAGACAGAGTGAAAGGTCTAGTTTCGAACTGTGTATGCTTTTTACAATTATCATGTTCTGTTTTACTAAAAATGATTCTTCTATCTTAATCGCTCTGTTTTCCGGCAAAAACTGTCTTAACGATTTTCTCACTATCTATGGCACTTAGAAAAAAACTTCCAATGCCAGAAAGATAGAGCATATGCTGAAATATATGACCTGCTTACTCAAATCTTAAAAAAGCGCACGTTCGTTTTTTCACCTAAATATGATGTGGTTGTCCACTGTGCGGCGTTGAAGTACGCTTATAAAATATGCCAAGTACAATGTGTATATTGTGACATTTATCCAGTTTTGATCAATTAGGAAAGAGCGAGTAAACAAGTTAGAGACACTTACATTGACTTTTCATAATTCAAAAGTAAGATAAACGTATTTGTTTCTTTCTAGAGCTCTTATTTCGTAATAGCGTGAAAAATAGGAAAGTTTAAAGTTCCAGTAGTATTTCACGAGTTCTATGCATTGAAGTGGCAAGACATTCTATGGATCTTGACTTGAATGACTTGAAACTCATATGGTGATGTGCATAATGCATGAACTATATCGAGACAAAATTTCAAATTAATAGCTCGAACCTTTCTTGGGATGTAGAACAATGATGATTATAGCACAGCGGAATGCTTCTATTCATAACTGTAGATTACTAAGAAAAGAATGCATTTTTTACAAACTTGAGGAGATAAAGATTATACTTAGAAGCTGAACAGTTTGCAATTAACCAATTTTCAAAGAAAATAATCTAAGTTCACATCAACTTCTTGCAAAATTGTGTAAAAAATAAAAAAAAAATAGTAAGTACTAATTTTATTGAAGTGATTCTTCTAAAGGACCCACTTCACAATTGATAATATTATTAGTTAGAATAAACATATCTACGTTACTTACTCCCGTGTTTTATGTAACTGATCGAAATATTTTAGATCTTCGTACTGATAGTTTATGTCATCTTATGACCTTTCATAATTTCTATAGGAATGAAATATCTAACAAAGCTGTTTTTAACCTATCCTTGGTTATGATGTCATCGATGATAGAAATAACTAACTGATATATACATACTCATTATTTGTTTAGGTTTGAAAGAAATTGTCGCTAACAATTTTGCTGATCGTCATTGTACAAAACGCCCACACAGCATACGTGGATAGAGTAATACATACATAATATAAAGAAATTTGTGCTTAATAATCCAGATATTTTTAAATGTTTTTTCTCGCTATTTTTACTTGAGTGTTAACTAAGTTAGATATCTGTTTACTGCACACACACACACACACACATAGAGGGGTGAAAACTCGGTCATATTCGTTAAAAAAAGATATAATTATTGACTTATAGTACAAAATTGTGCTGTATCCAACTAGATAACGAATTTTTATTGTCAAAATATCTATTTTAACTGTTGTTCGATGTTTAAAGTTCATTTAGTTTATGCACCACTAAAAATCTAATATATGATTATTTTCATAAAAGAAATAGTTTTCTTTATTATATATTTGGTTATATATTCAAAAACAAATAAATTTTTGGTTTATTAAAAATAGTAATGATAGTACTTACTGAGGTAACTGATTCTGTGACATTTGTTCCTCATTTCACTGAAGATAATTACAATTATTGTGCAAACGAATAGAAAGTCTCTTTCTTCTATTCATTTCCTCATTTTTCTCTATATCGAATCATCGTCGTAATATTTTTCTTTTCTCTCAAAACCTTTTCTTTCAATAAAGAAGACAGCTACATGATGACATCCATCTATTATATATAGCAGTATATACCCAAAAAAGTTTTTTCGATTATTCATGTTGAGTTGAAAATTATATCATAATATTCTTAACATTAATTTTTTATATTATAAGATAAAAGTACTATCGAACATATTCAACAACATTTAATGTATTGCACATATATTATTAAACTTTTGATTAAACATTTTTGTCTTTCATTGGAGTATATCCTAGTCAGAAACTTACTCAAATTGTGTTAAAATCTTAAAATAATCTTACTAAGATTTTCAGAGACACGAAAAATTTGAAGATTTGATAAGATATGACGAAGTTCTTATCGAGCTATAATTAACTTTATCAACTTAAAAATGTAAGATCTTATACAATCTTGAAAAGATATTTTTATAAGCTGCGCAAGATTTTTTACTACAATAATCTTTTCAGCTAATAAAAACTAAAATAATTTAGTTTTTTTTGACAACGTAACCGTAGAATGTTAGTTGGTTATGAACTGCAATCTAAATCTTTTAGTTTTGAGATAGAAATTTGTAAATTGCACGTATTAGACATGTATCCTTCTTTTTATTTCGTAATAATGAAAAGAAACATATGTCAAACACTTAATCATTTAATATTCAAACGCATAACGATTGAGAGCTCGAAGTCTCCTTTGTGAGAATTGTTCGCTTGTCAAAGAGAAAAAAAAGACATATTAATTGCATTTGTATCATTTTTTTTTTTTCTTCTAGAACACGTAAAGACTGTCATTAAATGAGAAGTTAAAAAATGGCTATATGCATGTAAGCATTGTAGAGACTCTTAATCATAATGTAGAATAATAGCATAACTATATTTTCCGTACTATTGCGTTTATAATGAAAATACTAATCTATAGATTTCCTGGTTCAAATAGTTTTGATATCGATCGAAAAACGATACAGATCAGATTAAATGTTTTTTCATTATGTAGGTTTTTATTTGTAATCAAAACAATAAATCCTTAGTGAATTTTGTGTCATTTGCATTCTCATTCCATTATCGAAAAAAAAAAAATCAGTGCCAGTGGAATGACTTTGTATTTTTTTTACTCACATTCTAATCTACCATGAAAAATTGTTTCATGTGAATTGAACATGACACTTAGACTAAATATATTAAATTTGTAATTATTTTGAACACTACATATGATTAAAAGGCAAAAGAATCGAAAATTATTTCATGTTTTAAATATGAATAAAAAAGTTAAAGACAGAGGACCAAAAAGTTATACGATCAACAGATTTTTAGTTACTGTGTATGCCTACGTTCTTTATCTATCATCATCTTATTATCTTTTGCTCA